TTGACCTTTTGAAGGACAAGGTGACCGAAATCATACAAGATTGCTCTGAGTTTTGCATTTGAGTAAGCGACAAAGATTACACTAGGCAGTATGTTCCTAAAACAAAATGTTGACCTGGGTCATTTTAGGTCAATGACCTATCCTGACCCCTAAAAAGTGCATGGAAGATGAATAATGCGGTTCCTGTTATCATTAAACTCGAAATGAGCGCCAGAAACCATCCCATATAGCAAGCCCTAGAGTAACAAAACGGGTTGGTTTTGACCTTGGTCTGATCTACATACCTGACCTTGGGTCAATTTTTTTGCTCATTCAACTGTTGTGTTGCCTAAGAAAGCATCTCAGAGATGTATGGCCTCGTCTAACACTCCGTTGGATCAGTCTGAAGGATGCCCTAGAAACTGCCTTCGCTCAAACCATGGTTTGACTTTGACCTGCCATAAGTCAGCAACCTTCCAAGGTACGTATAAATTTGTGACGCCAAAGAATCCGTCATTCATTTGTCTACAAATGCGCAAATTTTTTTGCGGCTTCACCGCGCCGTTCGGAAACCATTCTGTAAAACCTTCGGGGGGGGGGGGGTAAATTTGACCCCCACTCGAACACGTGTTAAATAATGTCTTCCTATGACATATTTTTGATCTAGGCTTCACAATATTCTTGGTGTTTAATTCCAATGCAGTGTTGTTTGTTATCTCATACAATGGCACAGTGCAACTCAGAGCAGGCAGGGAAGGTTTTGTATAAGTTCTTTCTTGCGGTCAGCATGCACCAATTAGGTGTAAGATGACCTGAACCTGGGTCGTGGGTACACTGGCAATACGGTAGCATGTTTTACATCTGTTGGTGACTTGAGTGTGGAAATCACTTAAACGCAGTTCACACCAAGCTTGAAATTGATTGAAAATGAGCCCAGGCTCGGGTCCCTTAACGATGTGTCGTTTTTAATCCAACTGGGAACTTTAGCCCCGACATCTTGGAGCATATCGTTGGCTTGATGTAAGGAAACACCCGATTTTGGACGGTCGTTTTGACGACGACGTTGGACGGTTAAAACTGGACGCCAGTTTAGCTGCTGTGTTTAAGCCCGTAACACATGCTACGGATGTGCTGCTCTTAAAGAGAATGTAACACATTTGAGTAAATTGAAGCAATCAACAGATATGATAAAATAAACTCCCTTATCACTATCGGTTTACTTGTGGCTGGAAAAGGCTGCTTTTGACAACACAATTCCTCGGTTTAGCAAATATGCTCATCAATACGTCATTGTATGATTACGTTTTCATGGATTGCGTAACACTGATTGAGAGCCACTTCTGCCGTCCAAAGGTAAAACTCCATATGCTGTTTTTTGCCACTTGGCGTTGTTATGTCATCTGGTTCGTCTACTCATGCTGAATTCGGCTACTTACACCAACAGTTGAAACTTTCACCAAATTTTGGCCGTTTCTTTGGGCTAAAGGCTTGCGAAAAATTCATCTATCAGCTTAAATATTCTAATTCAGCACGGAAAGACCAAAATCAGATGACATAAAAACGCCAAATGGCCAAACATGAACATATGGGGTTTTGCCTTCGGACAATGACATTGGCGGCCATTATGGAAAGGTTTCCTGGTCGAAAGGAAAGGGTTTCCTGGTCTGGAAATCGTGCTCACTGCCGCCAGATATGATCGACTAGACAATTATATATTTTCTGACTTTCATCGCTGCATGACGAAAATAATGGCAGGAATCGATGACATTATTATGGCGGCATGGATACCTGGGTGACCTTGAAATAGTATGCATGTCTTCGCGGACGTGCAGTTCAGAAACTAGTCAGATTGAAGAAGGGCAGGAGAGAAGGGCACAGCTATGAACTGATGTTTAAGGTGACTTTTCAGTTTAGAACTCCATACATATGTATTACACCCTTTAACCTACAAGCCAGAGCTTCTTCCACCCTTCCAGGAAGATGCATTCCTCATAAGTGGATGAGGTATTGAACAACACCGGAAGCATTCGTGTTGAAATATATTCAAAAAAAAATTATATGCATTTTTCTCCATGCCTCGTCAAGATGCCATGTAACTGGTTTACGATATGGATCAGGTCGGATCGCTTGCTGCGAAATAAACGGTTTTCGGAAACCTAGGCAAGAGAGCAAAAGGTGCGTTCTATATGCCAGATGATATTTGCTGATTTTGGCAAAATCCTGAAGTAAGAATACATTAAAGGAAGTAGCTCACAGAACAGGTGTAAGACACTCCTAAAGGAGGATCGACACATCTTAGTCTGAGTATAAATTCGACCCTAATTTGGGTGCAGAAAACATGTGTTGGTTCTCTTTACCCCTACAGAAGGTTAACATTTCCCTGCATTTCGTATTGTGCTCTAAATAAGGCCTCTGTCTAGCAACGCTAGCGTGAAATGCAATACAACGTATCACTTGGACACCCTGCTCATGCAACGCTGTTCTGCGCATGGCCATTTTTAAATGAACGCGCTCGAGGTGAGGGCGTCAATTTGAACCCCTGAGGTCTCAAAAACTCAAGGAGCTAGGGGCGCCAAATTCACAGGATAGGCGGGCCTGTGTGTCACTTTACACCCGTAAAATTTAAGATTCTACGGCTATGGCTCTCGGGTCAGATAAACTTTATCTAATTAAGCCTCAGATCTGTGCCTAAAGTACGCTCAGGCCTCTCAGTAACCGCCTTTGACCAAAACACATCTTCTAAGCAAAAGGTCACCTGTATTGATGGTAGGTCAGTGACGTAACGTCACCTTCTGAAGGTCAAGGTTACCAAGCGCCTTAGAGAATGGTTCCATCTTTAAGCTCAAATAGGCGTCTATGTCTACGCAAGGCAGTATGTTCTTAAAAAGAAAAGGCCCAATGGGATAATTTGTGGGTCAGTGACCTCCTTTGACCCCATGAAGCTCAAATAAGATACCTGTTGAGACCTCAGTGATCACAATAATTAGTGAAATGGTTTTGACCAAGGTCTCACCTTCACACACAAACCAAGGTCAATAGGATTAGTTGCGATCCTAAATTTTATTGTCCAATTACCTGAGAATCCATCTGTGAGATGTTGGATTAGTTTAGCGCTCCGTTGCCGCATTAGGTTGAGCGATTCTCTAGAAATTGCCTCCGCTGACAGCCATGCCCTTATTTTCACCTGTCATAGATCCATAATCTTACATGGCATATGTACCTTTTTAGCAACAGACTAAGTTAGATTGCCAACAGCTATATAAAGCTTGGAGCAGCTAAGCCGCGTTGTAAGTTACCTTGGAAAAACCTCCGGAGGGGGGGGGGGGAGTAAAATTGACCCCCAACGTAGTGCTTGTTGAAGGGAGTGTTTCACATTTATATGGGCGCAGTGTTCACGTGTTTGAGTTTATTTTCGTTGTTGCACTTAACGGTAGTTGTTGCACCGCCTGGCCGGATTTCAGGGAATCTTCGTTTTGTTACGCCACAGCTGTGCAGTCGTGTTGGGCGACGGCATTGCGGGTTGTTCTTCGCCGTGTGGCGGGTATGTGGGTTGTGCGCCCGAGTTCCTTGTTTTAACCTTTCAAAAGTGTAGCGGGTTGGTTTACGTTGTAATGCAATAAGCACGTTAGCATGGAAGGAACGCTGCAATAGGGTTTTGAACTGAAATACCCCTTCTGTGCTGTTCACAATCCTGACCTTTAGACCTAAGCCTCCAGTTTCCGAGCTAGGCGCCCGCGAAAATCGGGGAAAGGTATGTGGGGGAAATATTTCAAAGCAACATTTCCGACTCAAAAGTATACCAGTTATCATCAGTCACCTTCCTTCATCATATCTGATGCTTGCCTCAAAATCTTCAAAGGTGAGACATTCTTTTTAAATAGATACCATTGTGCTCGTGTTTTGGCCATTCGTCGTGGCATTCTCTTGGCTAATTATCTGTAAGCTTAAGGTGTTAGATGCATTCACGCATTTGGTTATGGCGGTTTTCTTGGGTTATTCGGGTAGAACTGCTTCTTCTGTAATAAGCAGCACGCATATATAACTTCGTATGCTATGTATCTCAAAACGCATTCGTAACGAAACGCACAGGCTACTCAACAGCGATTGGGACCATTTGACGGACATCATATCTGGAAATCGTGCTCACGGACGCCAGATGGGAGCGGCTCGACGCTTGTATTCTTTTGGCCTTGAACACCGCATGACCAACGGAGTGACAGGATTTGCATGATGGTTCTGTGCACCATGCACGCCTGAATGGCTCAAATAGTATGTGCGACATAGCCTGCCCACGTTCGCGGGTGTGTAGCTCAAAAACTACAGGGCGTTAGGTTTTAATAGGGGTAGGGCTTTGAACTGTACCGAATGATCGAAATGTTCTTTTTCAGGAGAAAGCCCCATGCAAATGTGAAACACTCTCTTCAAGCTCACAGAGCCTGTGTCAACTGGCAGTCGCCTGTGTGTGCGGAATGCCATATCTATCGACACTTTGTGGCATGTTTTCGACAGATTGTTCATTGTACGACTTGTTTCCACCACACGCACGAGAAACTTGACGATTTTTTTTCCTGCCAGATGCCAAAACATGTCGCTTCACCACATGCGCTGCGACTGACACCAGCATGGACACCAGTGTTGGACAGGTGTGAAGTCATGTTGTGGACCGTCACGGAGGTTGAAATCGTTGTATATGAACAAATCACGGCTGTCCGCGCAAGCGTCTATGCCGTGCGTCTGGCCACAAAAAAGTGCTAGACATGCAGACCAACAGACAGAATGACAGGCAGGCGTACTCCGAGAAATTTGTGAATGATGGTGGAAAGTTGGATGACAATAAAACCTGAGCTTGTGGGCTAATGCGACATTTCCATGAGCAGCTGCTTGCGGGCGGGCCTGTTTTCAACTTTGGGCAGCGGTAAAGAGCGGGATTCTAGAGTCGCTAGAGTAAACAATGGCACATCTAACGTCAACACTGAGATCAGCACGGCAACGGAATGCTGCCGCCTGAGACAACGCCTCACCGGTAAGCAGGTGGCCCAGCACCAGCCAGACGAGAGAAGTATTCATCCTTCGTGAACGGCGTCGACGTACGTCGGACCCCGTGGGCACCGACGCTCAACTGGTTCCAGGGCGGCGGCCGGCCGTCGGTCGGCCGTGCGCGCGGCGGCCGCCCGGCCAGATCACGCCGTGTTTGCCGGCATCCCTCACCCCGCTTAGCAATTGATTTTACGACCTCGGCGACAAGGCCTGTCTGGGGGAGGGGAAGGGGAAGGCACGCGCGTCAGGCGCGCGCCCTGGGAGTCGTGAAGCGCGCCGCCGTCTTTTGTCGCGTTGGGGCAGCGCTCCGACGGGTCGTGGCTCATTTGGGAAAGTAACGCTGGACGGTAGTATCCTGGCTCGAACTGCGGACGCGCGTGGCGTGGCCAGGGCACCGAAGAGGAGCCGAGGCGCGCGCGGAATGAGGACGATGGACGCCTGGGGAACGCGTGGCTAGTGGGGTCAATGGAGGGGGCTCTTTGTGGGCGTCGGTCTCGTAACGACCGAGGATGTGACTGGTGATTTAACCTGCAACAGCTCATGTTGAATGGTCCCAAGGGGTAGGTGAGCGCAGCTTGTGCTGCGTGATTCAGTATTTCACATAAGGCGAGATTTCCTGGCAAAGAGAGAAGTACAGCATCCCCGACTGGTTATCGTTCATATGTACCGTAGTTTCGTCAGCCTCTGTTGTTAAGTTGGATAGTCCTTGTACGGACATTTTCAACTCTCATTACTGGCTTCAAGCCGCAGGTGTGATACAGTGCTTAACTTAATGCACACGGTTTTGATAAATGTTGCCCTTTTGCCATGCAATCGTTGTTATCTTCTCCTCAATGTCAGTTTGTCTTTCTGTTCTCAGTCACTGCTTCATCTTGAATCCCTCTGCCCCTCCCCCATCTCACCGGGAAGTTGTCTAATCGTCAGCCGTGGGTGGGCTTGAGGGTCCCCCTCCCGACGGAGACTCCGCCAGTGCGCCTATGTATACCCCGAAGGAGGTGATTGGTGCGGGTCAAGTTTCGGTGCCCGAGCAATCTCGGATAGTTATCGTACTACTCCACCACTTCGGGGCGCGGACAGCATGGCGAGACAGGGGGGGGGGGGGGATCCCTTTAGCCTTGCATTGTTCCTTTTTACGACAGGTGGCTCCAAGTCAGAAATCGGCGTGATGCTTTCTCATCAAGCCCCCAAGAAAATCCTGGTTATGCCCCTGCCATCACTCACCTCACGCAAGCCTTTAAACCGAGGCAGGAATGTGGAGAAGGTTTACCCGCACTTCTCATTTTTTTCCTTTCCAGAACGCACCTGTGACAGGGCTGGGGCGGCGCCATTTGTCTCCTAGCTGATGAAGGTCCACGGGTCCACCCAGTAATATCCAATTTTTACTTTTGGGCTACCACCAGCTAGTTAAATGAGATTTTGCCGTGACCCTGTCAAAGCGCTGTCACGCAGCACGGCCACGTTTGTTACGAAACCAAATCGGCTATCTTGAGCCCTAGTGTTATACAAGTTTCTCACAACACGGGGCTTGATTCCCCGCGGCGCTCACCCTTCCTGCCAGGGTGAGAAGCAGACGACGCTCTGTATCCGAACAGCTGAGCACGTAGTAAAGCCTCAGTGAAAATAATGGAAGTTAAATCGGACGCGACTGAACGGCTTGTGTATAGATCCCCCTGCCCACTAACGTTAACACTACCAGCATTGCACTACGACTGCAGAATGCACTCACATCATCGATTTGCCACAAATATTGGCTTCCTTTTTTGAGAGTGGTCCACATCACGAAGAGTATTTGAATTTCGTAGTCTTGAGCGCGAAGCAATTTATGTACAACATGAATTGCAATAATGGTTAGGTTTCTCTCGACATTTACATTTTTGGGGGCGTAGAAAAGTTTAAAGTGTGGCGTAAAAAAAGTTTATATTATTTATTCGCAATTTTGAACTGACATAGCCATTTTGAAGATCATCCAGTGCAGATTACAGCCCTCCCCTTCTTTACATCTAAACCCCTCTACATTTCTCCGCTGCACAACCGCGGAGATATTCAAACTGTGCGGGGGGGGGGGGGGAATATTGCAAGGTCACTCAGACATCAATGACGCCATAAAAGCGTCACTGAAATTCTGCCATCCCATATGTCATGCGGCGATCAATGCCAAGAAGCGTAATTGTCGAATCGCTCATATCTGGTCTTGCGAACACGATTTCTTGATATAACTGCCGTCGGTGAATTATCAATCACCATTGTGCTAGGCGCGAGGACGCAATCAAACAATGACGTATTTCGGAGCATATTTACTAAATAGAGCAATTGTGCCATCTAGAGCTATTGTTTCCTCTTGACTCCTACTAGCAGTACACCAATAGTTGGAAGTAAGCTTATTTCATCATACCTGATACTTGCTTCGATATCTTGGCAGCACAGGGCTGCTTCGATAACAGGGCTGAAATTCGAACATGAATAACGCTTTGTTATATAATCCCGGAATTGGGGCAGCGGTAAGGGCTATGACGGAAACATAATTGAGAATCGAATAACTAAAAATAACGCCGAAATCTAGTATATGAACGCAAGTGCAAGTGATAGTAACAAGAAATGCGCACAAATTGACCAGAAGAGCCGAGGAGAAGCCAAACGCGTGCACATAACGATATTTGGGCTTTGCAAACACGCACCGATTAGCACGCCACCTCTCGACATGTTGAAATGCTACAAATGAGTCAGCCCACCGTACCTACCCCCACACACTCAGACATTGTCACTAGTACGACTGTGCAGTCTGTCCTCAATGTGGCATCACTCTTCCTGCGTCGCTGACACGCCGAGCTTCTGAGATGAGGGGAAGTATTTACACGTATTTAGGCAGCTCCGAAGAGTTGGGCGTTCGCACGGTTTCCACGCTAAGCACGTGATCCTCTTTGAAAACGGGTGGTGTGGAAGCAGCGCCGTGGCTATACCAAATGCCACATACAATTACCTCGGGCATGAACTCATCGAAGCAGTGCGATGGAGAGCGTGCGTCGAAGCCGCTGATGTCTTCTCTCCCCTCCTAAGCGCTCGAGTGGTGGTGTCTTTACTGCGTACAACGCTCATGCATACGCTGAAGTGGAGATACCTATAGAATATTGCATCTGAATAACACGTCTTGATGCGACGCAACTTGCACAGCTTGGTGTGAACGTTGCCATCAAATGTTGTCCGCTTAAGCAAAGTTTATGTGCTACCTACAAATCGTTCTAATCACTAGTCGCGATTGCTCTAACTTCTCGAATGCTTCCTGCTGGCCAGCCACCATCGGGACCCCGACATGCAGGGAATCGCGCACGGAGAGTCGTCTACGTGCGACGCACGCGCTCAAAACTCGCATGGAATCAAGTTCACACATGACCTCCTCGACTCACTTGCTACATGCCGTGGTGGGTCATCGAAGTATAACTGAGAGCAAACATCCGCGCTTTGATAAAAACGCAAGGATAGACACTTCGATTTCAATGTAATGGTAGGATGAAGGTTATGGAGTGAACGTTTATGGTCACACCCTGGAACATTGCTGAGCACCTTTTTGCTGCTGTTTATATTTGGTGGTTTTAATCGCAGTGACCGTGAAGACTTGGTCGCTTTCCTCAGAACACACGTTCGGGATACCCGCGTTTGAGTAAAAGACATATCCGTCGCCTGCTGTTCCAGATTTGGCTTCGGGCATTAATCATTTCAGTCGGGAAAAACTGTTATTTTGAAACGCCGCCGACCCCGTTTCTCGCACCACTGCGTGCGTCACACATTGATAAATCTCTGGGAAAACATTCGCCAAATGATTACCGCTTTAGCGGAGCCTTGTTGGAGACTTGAGACCTCCAGCCTCTTCTCAAAGAATTGGCGTTGATAAATAAACATCTCTCTCTCTCGTTACGCTCTTGCTCTCTCGAGATAGGTTTAGTCAGACAGGCCTCATAGAAATATTTCCTTCATGTTCTGATAACACAGTGTACTCTATTGCTTCACGCGGAGTGTTGAATTCCACGCCGGAACTGCACCACCAACAATACACGCATTTTGTTCCGGGGCGTTTCCGCAGAATTTTAATTCCCTGTCGACGGATTTTTCTCCGTAAGCAAATCTATGACGTTATCTCTCCCTCGCCTTCTAAATTTGTATCAAAGTCGCCGTTCATGATTGGTCAAGCTAGGCACCACGTCTCAAACACGTCCGTCGATGCATCGGTGGTAACAAAATGTGCGTCGCTTCAGAGCGGAAAGCGGAGTGTCACGTCTGTGCTGTGGCAACAAACTCCTACTGTCAGGAGTGCTACGACATAAGTTACACGCGCATTACTTCTAGGGCAAAACCTTGCACACTTTACTTAGACGCAGCATTACATCTACTGCAAAGACTTCATGACATGAGTGCTATACAACAAATTCTATGTTTAAGGAACTTATACCCATCATCACGTTTACTTCAAAAACTCTTTAAGTCCTAACGTATACGCGACGTAACTTTTGCGGAAAAATTCAAACACGGCATGAGTGCTACAAGTTATGCCGTAGGAACTTTTGCTCATTACTTAAACAACAAAGACGCGTACAGTGTTCACTTAAACGCGACGTTGCTTCTATTGCAACAACTCATACACGACACGAATACTAGACGGCGAAAATGTTACCGTAGAAAACATACTTACCTCTACAGCAAACACTTGACCACATGTCTTTGCTGTAGCACAACTGTCGCGTGTAAGCCTTCGCAGTAGACGTATTGCGATGTTTAAGTGAGAAGCGCAAATATCTTTGCAGTGTAAGTAATCACGAGCATAAATTCTTGTAGCATCAGGATCGTCGTGTAGCACTAGTGTTGCACAAACTTTTTGTACACCAAGTAATGCCGTGCGTAAGAAATGACTGCAAAAGATATGCAGTGGAACGACGGGTGTCGATTTGTATTCTTTTATGAGGAACCTGCCCCCCCCCCCCCCCCAATTTGAGATGGGCCCGCCCAATGTCTGCTTGGCCCCCCTAATGTCTTTGGCTGGAATATTACAAAAAAGGGGGTAACAGATGATCATAACACGCAGACTATCTTCTTTGATCTGTCTGCGTAG